GCATTTGTTATGTTTGATGTACTTATTTGTTATGTGGAATGTATATGCATGATATGTTTGGGCTCGATGGCTGAATACCAAGTCGATATTTTGGGTCTTGACGGTTGAATACCGAGCTGACAGACCGAAGGCCATTGTGCCAAGTCAGGGGGACCGAAGGTGGAAACACCAAGTCGGTGGACTCGACGGCTGAATACCGAGTCTTTATTTGGGTGTTTTTCGGTATTTGTTCCCAAATAGACACGGGATATATGATATTAATGTTTATATGTTATATGGATGTTTGCATATTTTGTTGGTGGCATGATAAATAGGAGTAGGGTGTAATATTTCTAATTTTATGTTGTGTTGGAAGTCACTAAGCTTTCTACTTACCATTTTATTCTATAAATGATTATTACAGGTACATCGGGTACCAACAAGGGTAAGGGTTCGACTTAATTGTACACTGATGAGGTTGAAGATTGGGTCCTTGTCATAATTTTTATTACGAATTTTAAGACTTTTATTATTCTATTATAACTGAGTTATAACAAATGGTTTATCTATAGTATGTTTGGAATTACTAAATTGGGGATTTGAATTTTATAAATTGCTTAAGTTATATTATGGATGGATGTTTTTTTTTTACAAAATAAATGTTTCGGAAAGTTTAAATTTATTAGAAAATTTTGGGATACTATAATTGGTGTTTTGGACAAAGTGAAATTTTATTTGATGATAAACTATGTTTTTATTAAGAGTTGATGTAATTTCTTTTACTGTTTAATGCAATTTTATAATGTTGATTTTGTTATTAATTTTTTTTTTTGGAAAAAGTCGACTTATTTTTGTATTTATTTTAATTAATTCTATCATATTTTTGTAGTTGAATTGTTATGGATGTGGCTATAAAACATATTCTGTCAAACTTTTCTGCAACATAACTAGGTTGTGGTAAATTTACAACATATTTGATACATCATAGTAAATTCACTATGAAATGTTTGCTACAATGTTACCAATAGTTGATTTGCTACGAAAATTAGCTACGGGGCTAGTTTGTAGTTAATTTGTAACAAAATTAGATCATAGTAAATTTACTACGGAGTATTAGCTACGTCATTACCTATAGTGGATTTGCTAGAGAAACTAGCTACGAATTTAGTTTGTAGTTAATTTGCGATAGATTTACTACACGGAAATAAATTGTAGTTAATTTGCTACAATGTTGCTACGTATGTAGTCCATAGCAAGTTTTCTACGAAATAAGTTTGTTGTAAATTCGGTTGTGAAGGTGCTACGGATTCCGTAACGAACCTTTACTAACGAAGAATTTGCCTACATAATGGATCCGTAGCAAATTCCGTTGCTAATCGATTTTAACTACGGAATATAATGTTTTAGCTAAAGAATTTTTCCGTCGTTATTTTGACTTTTTCTTGTAGTGGGAGCTCGTTCAAGACTCATCTTTCATTTTGATTTATGCTTTAGTGTTTATCAAAATTTGATAGAACACATTTGTATAATAATTATATTACTAATGCAATGGATGATGTTGTTGCTTGTTTACTACTTTTCATTGTTGTGATACTGTACATGACGTCCTCCGCCCCAGAACGTTTCCGTCGTTCTTGGTTTTGGGGTGTGACATCTTACAACACTTCCCACACTATATGGCTGCTTGTGAATGCTACGGCTCCCCCACAGTCTTACAACACTTTCACCCTGACTATCCATTAGTGAATGCTACGACTGCCTCGTAGTCTTACAACACTTTCATACTACATGATCGCTGCCTATGGCCCTATCGCTCATATATCAAACCGAACACATCTCAACGTTGAGCGCCCACACGGTCTATCCTCCCAAATTGAACTTAAGTACCGAATGGAACCCAACCTGGTTCCCTCCCCCAAGACCTGCTATAAGACATCAAGAAGACGCGATCCAAATGTTGGGGAGTTTCCCGAACCCCCATCCCCTAATATCCTATATTCAGTTAGCTCTTAAGACTGCCTTTCCTTCCCCAATGGGGATGTGAAACGCATCCTCGTCTCACACTCTCTTCCATCCTGAATATCTGAATGGTTCTCCCCCACTTAGATTCAACTAAATCCACTCAGCATAGTAGAATTGAAGGATTCCCAAACCCTCTCTCGTTCCAGTGATCAATCTACTAACGACCGGTGCCTAACAAAGCTAGAACACTATGAATAACCCTTCCAAAACAACACGATTCCCAAAAAGCAGCTAACACTTCTTGAATCCCATCAATGCCAATGCCGGATTCAATAGTATGAGGTGAGTTTCCTCATTGGATTTAGCGGATTGAAGGCACCAATGTCAACCCATGATTATGCTATGTTAGTATGCTATCTGTCTGCGTGATTCTCGAATGTGTTATGTGCTTATATGCTTAGTGGGCAGGGCCTGATGTCGGGCGGAGCCCGATTACCATTTTGTATGCTATGTATCTTTGTGATTATTGCATGTATTTACTTGATATATGTTATATGTTATATGTATGTCGGGCGAGGCCCAATCTGTTTACCGAACATGGCTCGATGCCAGGCGGGGCCTGATGCCGGACGGGGCCCGATGACGGATGGGGCCCATTATATGTTATTATGTATGATATGTGGTATTTTGGGGAACTCACTAAGCTTTGTGCTTACGGTTTTCAGTTTATGTTTCAGGTATTTTTTGTTCCAAGGGGAAGAGCTCGGGTTGACTGCATCGCACACACCACATGGATTCCGCTTTTGAGATATCACTTTGATTTTTCTGATGTTGAAATACTTATTTTCATTTGAGTTGTGTGGATAATGTTTTTGGAATACTATTATATTTAAATTAAAAATGAAATTTCTTGATCATATTTTTGGGACATTACATAGCATGTGGTTCTCGTTTTCAAATGCTAAACATGGTGTTGCTTAACGCAACTGATGTCGACGGGTTTTGCAGGTGAAGCAGCCGATAGGTCGACGACGAACAAATGTTGTGAATGTGGTGGTGTTCGTCGGTGGTTAATGGCGGATAAACATAGTTATAAGTGATAGACGTGGACAAACCGATAAGGGGGTGATTGTTGGATTAATCGGTTTATTACAAGAGGAAATCTGGGATAATTTTAGTTCTAGGGGTATTTTAAGAAACATTCATTTTATGCGGTTTTTGTGTTAGAGTAGGAGTTTAGTTTTATTAGTATAAATAAGATTAATGATTAGGATGTTTTTAGTTAACTTTTTCCAGCAATAAAGTTCACCAAATAATCCCTCGTTCTTGTTCTTGTTCTTATCTTCTTTTTTGTTCAGATCATACATTGGACACCAAGATAATATAAGGTGTTATACATACACGCACTCAAGTTCTTAAAGACTTGAAAAATACAAAATCACTTTCTTTTAAATTTGTGCGTTTCAAATGTTTCATTGTAATATATCAAAAACTTGGGTGGTAAAAGCCACTGATGAAAAATTTCACCAATTGTTTGATTACAACCCGAAATTTTATTTGTCAAAGATATATCTTAGAAGAAGCATGTGTAAAATTTTAATTAGACAATTGTTGTTATTATGTCAAATGGATTTTAGAAGCAAGTGGACTTTTTTTCTTGCCACGTCTTGAATAAATTTCAATTTTGTGTTTTGAAAATAGCGCGGTGCATTTATGAGATTTTGGTAACAAGTTAGAAATTCGTAAGATCAAAGGCACGACTTAGGAGAAGAGTTTCAATAATTCTCCTTACTGTAGGGACCATGCAAATTTTAATCAACCTTATAACCCAAAAATGTCTTAGTTTACATATCTTGTATATAAATTATGAAAATATGGCACTGACTGACCAATTTAATTATTCAATATTTATTCAATATTTCTGGATCGATTTACACACCCAATTGGTTGTATTATAATTTCATTTTCTTTTGATGTTATTATTATATAATAGTATATTGCTAAATAAGATTTAAAAAAATCTTAATTAAAAAAGGGTTAATGACGAAAACTATAGGAATTCCGAAGTAGCAGTTTCGGTGACCAATTTTCTCAACTCTCAAGTAATGCAAGAGAATAGTATTAAACCCTTTGAAAAAAAATGAATTCTTATGCATCGGTGGTGGCAAATGAGCTGATACTAAGGACATCCAAAATCTATTGAGTTCCATTGAACTTTATAGAGTTCAACGGATTGTTACATCATCCATTAAACATATATACAATATCATCCACAACCTATTAAACATCTATTCAATCTTAATCATCATTTTATTCATTCTATTGAACCATTCAATGATTATTCAACTTTTCCATTCAACTCTACTTCATGTCATCACCTACATTCCATTCAATTCTTATTTAATCATAGTCATCATCATATTCAGCTCTTATACTATTTGTATTGTGGATGCTCTAAAGAAGAATCAAGGGATGTATGGAGATTGTCAAGGTATTGAAATAGATGACAAGGATCTTTTAAAAGCTGTGGATGCTTCATGTATTGTTTTGGCAAAGGTTTGGGATGTTCACTTCACTTAATTGCAAACATTAGTAAAGTTTGTAAAAAGTAAGACTTGGTGATGTTGAGGTGTATTACATTGGTGGATTGTGATTGTGGATAGAATTTAAAACTCGAAGTTCTTGTCTCAAATTCAAACAACAGGAAGATACAAAATGATACGTAGGAAAGGTTAATTTGGATTGAAATTGACGGGTTACCATTATGTTCATGAACTCCCAAGGGTTTTAAAAAACATCTCTTATATTTTACCTTTTATAAAAACAACAAAAGCGTAGAGGTTTCTTTTTATCTTTTAACCTTTAAAAGAAAAAACAAAAGCCGACAAGTTTCTTTAATAAATAAACATTTTAAAAGAATTATTCTAAAATATTTTATTTAGGAAGAGGAAGCACCAAAGGAGACTTTCGAATGTTAGCTATTTAATGGCCTCCTGCTAACACTTTTTTCCCACACCATCTCTTTCACGCACACACACAAACCCGCCGCACAAACAGTCATGGGATCAGTAAGCAAGGAGATACTGCACGACGTTACTCCATACATAAGAGTCTACAAAGATGGAACCATAGAAAGACTCGTCGGCTTAGACGTTGTTCCTGCATCTTTCGATATCGACACCGGTGTCACCTCCAAGGACGTCGTAATCTCTCCAGAAACCGGTGTCTCCGCCAGGCTCTACCGTCCAACTCTCACCACCGCCTCAGAAAAATTCCCTCTCATCATCTACTTCCACGGCGGAGCATTCTGCATCGCATCGCCCTTCTATCCCAAGTACCACCGGTCACTTACCAACCTCGTTTCAGAAGCACGTGTCATCGCCGTCTCCGTCGATTACCGGCTCGCACCAGAGCACCCACTTCCGGCAGCCTTCGATGACTCACACGCCGCTCTCCGGTGGGTCTCCTCACATGCTCCCGGTGGAACCGGGACGGAAGAATGGATAAAAGAAAACGTTGACTTCAACCGTGTCTTCCTTGCCGGCGACAGCGCCGGAGCAACCATAGCTCACGACATCGCCATGCGAATAGGATCAAACCCAGACCCGACAATTCTGAAGCTTTCGGGTATTGTTTTAATAAACCCGTATTTCTGGGGAAAAGAGCCAATCGGGTCAGAGAAAGCGGATCCTGTGAGGAAAGCTATGGTGGACAAATGGTGGGAGTTCGTATGCCCATCGGATTCCCATCTCGGATTAGACGACCCGTTAATCAACCCGCTGAGGGACGGAGCTCCGGATATGTCGGGTCTGGGTTGCGGGCGGGTGATTGTAACCGTTTCTGAAAAGGATATATTAAGAGACAGAGGGTGGGCGTATTATGAAACTCTGGTGAAGAGCAAATGGGAAGGCAAAGTAGAGATGATAGAGATCGAAGGTGAAGATCATGTATTCCATATTTTTGACCCTAATGGGGAAAAAGCCCTAAATATGATGAAAAGGTTGGGTAGTTTTATAAACCAACAATAAATTTGTCTATTAAGATATATGATCAATTTGATCATTAATTTATCACCTATAAAACTGAAATTCTTATCGAGTTAGATTAATGACGTGTATTTCGTGAAAAAAAAAGAAGGTAAAAGTCGTCTGTCGTTTCGAGGCTCGAAACTTTCGTCTAATACTTTATATGATTTGTAATTTATGTTATTAAGTAGTTTGTTGAATGTATTTGTTCAGAATACAATCTAAATTAGAAAGTTTATTGTTGTTTGTTTTTGTTAACGGCTAAACTTTTATACAATTAGCAAGACTTGTAGAAAAATAAAAATCATTACCAATATAAAAGAGCAAAGTTTTATAACCAATCAACCAAACTAAGTTATAATTTAAACATGTTACAAAATAAATTTAACAATTACAAGCTTGTCCAAAGGCTATATTTCCTCTATTTTTGACACAAACAAAATTAAATTTATAAAATTCCGAGGCACACAAATTTTTGGAAGAACAATCGCATCAAAACCTACTTTTTGATTTTTATTTAGGCTTGAATAATTTCTCCATTGAATGTGATTAACACATGAAGAAACCGAAACATTATCAATATCTCAACAAGTCTCCACTTTACCCCAAATAGAAACCATCACATTGCAAGAATTGAACAGATGTTCCAATCATTTTCATACACAAATCTTAAGTTGTGCAAACAAGAGTAATGGTATCCACTTTCTTTTTATTTAAGTTAACTATTGTCGCTTTTTTAATAAACCAAAGGGAAAATGACTTATGAAGGTAACTAACTATTTTGATTGTCCACGTATAGGTAATATTCTTTTTTTTTTGTTCTCATTAATGGAACAAACTTGTTAGTTATGTTCATATTTATGTAATATGACTGACTATTACCTGTTTTTGCCCGTTTTAACCGGTTGCATCGTTTTTACTCAGTGTTACTCATTTAAAGCTAATTACGTGGATTCTTACGTGGCCACTACTCCCCTCTCTCATTTAATTAGGGTTCTATACGTTCAATTTCAACATAATCACCTCCCGATTGTTGATTCGATTCACCTAGATTCGTTTCACCAAATTCACCATAATCACATGTTGAAGTCGACTGTAAGATGGCGTCCCAATCATCTACAGGTATGTATTTAACTGTAGATGTTCATTACAGTGGAGTATTTGCCCGAAATCCGTTGAAATACTTAGACCTCGAAAAGATAACAGTGCGTGATGTCGATTTTGGAGGGTTTTCCTACAAAGAGTTTCTTTTGTGGCTTAGGAATTTAACAAATGGAAGTTGTGATAATGTGTACTACTGTAGTAGAAAGGAAACCTTAGGTGAGGGTATTATAAGAATCGACAATGATGTTGATTATTGGGAGTTTGTTGAAGCTACTTACACTCCTGAAGCTGAGTTGGATGTCTAAATTGACCAACAAAATGATCCAATCCTTGATTGGGCTGAAAATGAGGTGTTATCAGATGGTAATGGGTATGATAGTGAAGAAGAGGATGAGAATGTAGAAGAGGATGATAGTGAAGAAGATGATAATTTGGATGGTATTATGGCATATGAGCATGAAGATGATGAAGAAGTCCATACCTTTAACAAAACTGTTGGTGATGATTTTTTAAACAAACTTTCAGGTAAGCTTAGTGATGATGATGAACCTAATGATGGAAAAGATAAGAAGGTTGTATTCCATGTCCATGATGAGAACCAAGCATGGGATAAGATGATGCCAATTCTAGGTATGAAGTTTGCAAACCCAATGTAATTGAAGCTATATCTAACCAATTATGCAGTGAAGAATGGGTATGACTTGTGGTATGAAAAAAGTGATCATAACAGGTTATTGGTGAAGTGTTGTAAAGGTAAGAAGAACAAGAAGAATAAAAGTTGTCCCTTTAGGTTGTGGGCAACCTGGATGAGCAATGAAATGTCATTCCAGATTAAATCTTTAATTGATAACCACAATTGCTCAAGAGTCTTCAAATTTGGGTCCATTGTTACCTATAAATGGATAGGTAATCATTTCATGAATCAGATTCTCCAGAAACCAAAAATGAGTGTGAGGAAATTGAAGGCTAAAGTTAGCAAGACATTTAATTTGATTGCAAGTGTGGGACAGTGCAGAAATGCAAGGAGGTATGCATTTAAGGAGATAGAGGGTACTTTACAGGAACACTATGCTAAAACTTGGAGCTATGGAGAAGAGCTAAGAAGGACTAACCCTGGATCAACAGTGAAGATGGATGTAGATGCCATGCCTGATGGAGCCACTTACTTCTCAAAGTTCTATGTATGTTTAAAGGGTGTGAAGGATGGATGGATTAAAGGTTGTAGAAGGGTAATTAGACTAGATGGCTGCTTCTTAAAAGGTGTTTGTAGAGGTCAGTTGCTTGCTGCTGTAGGTAGGGATGCAAACAACCATATCTACCCTCTTGCTTGGGCTGTGGTTGCAGTTGACAGTAAGGAAACATGGAAGTGGTTTGTTGACCTTCTCCTTGATGACATTGGAATGGGAAATGGACATGGGTTGACATTAATATCAGAACAACATAAAGTAATGATTTTATATGCTCTCTTTATTTAATACTTAATTTATATGAAGTTTATGTTTTGTTTGTAATGTTGATAGGGATTACTTGAGGCTGTCAAGGAAAGGGTACCAGCAGCAGAGCATAGACAATGTGCAAGACACATATGTGTTAATTTCATGAAAAAAAATTCAAGGGTCAACAGTTCAGTACACTTTTCTGGAGCACTGCTGCTTCTACTACCCAGGCTAAATTTGAGCAACATATGAATGAAATCAAGAAGATAGAACCACTAGCCTATGATCATTTAATGGAGAAGGACCCTAAAACTTGGAGTAAAGCATTCTTTCAGACTGATAGGGCATGTGATGCATATGAGAATGGTGTTTCTGAGAGTTTTAACTCAATCATTGCAACTGCCAGGAAGAGACCTCTAATCACTATGTTAGAGGAAATTAGAATTTATGTGATGGAGAGACTGTGTAGACAAAAAAGTAAGGGAAGTTTTTCGGGAGACTTAAACATATGTCCTACCATCATAATGAAATTGTCCAAGATTAAGGAACTTCAAAGGTTAGTGACTGAATACCATTTATATACTTACATCTTATATGTTTGACATTCAATTGTGTATACTTACATTTAAGTGTATGTGGACAGATTTTGGAGAGTTGTACCATCTGGTTATCAACAATTTGAAGTGAGACTTTTACAAGATGCATATGCTGTAGACCTTGGTAAGAAAACATGTGGATGTAGAGGCTGACAATTAATTGGTTACCCTTGTGTACATGCATATGCTGCAATTTCAAGCCTCAATAGGAATCCAGAGGACTATGTATCACCATGGTTGACCACAACAATGTTTTGTAATGCCTACATGTACACCATTAAGCCACTAAATGGTAGTGATATGTGGCCTGATGTAAGCCATTGCCTCCCAAAAGGAGAAGAATGCCAGGAAGACCATCAACAAAAAGGAAAAGGGATCAGATTGAGAATGAACTAAAGGGAAATAAGCATACAGTCTCAAAAAGGGGAATTGCTATGAGATGCAGCATATGCAGAGAATCAGGGCATAATAAATCAAAATGTCCTCAAAAACCAATTGGGGAATCCTCAAATCCAAAGTCAAAGTCAAAAAATAAAAAAGCCAACAAAAAAGGTATTTCTCCTCATTTACCTTTTGATTACAATAAAACAACTTCTAATTCTAACATTTGAGTTATTTCATAACAGGTAAAGTGAAGGTTGAATTTGAAGAGGGTAATCAAGAAGTTGATTTGGAAAGTGATAGTGACAGTGAAGTTCAAAGGGAGCCTAATAGTGAGGTGGAGTCTTATGAAGTTGATTTTGAAAAGGGTAATCATACATATGAAGATGTAGACCAACCTGAGGTTGAAGCTAAAGAACAAGTTGAAGTTGGAGGGGTTGAAGAACAGGTTGAAGTTGAGGAACAGGTTGAAGTTGAAGAACAGGTTGAAGTTGAAGAACATGTTGAAGCACTTGTTGAAGTTGAAGTTGAAGAAGGTGAATACCAGGCTGGAGATGTAGATCAAGTTGAACAGGTTGAAGTTGAAGTAATTCAAGATCCAGTTGGATAAGATGACCAAGGACATGCTGCAGTTCAAGATCCAGTGGAAGAGGAGCATATGATGGAAGTACCAGCATTTCAGGTTCTATAGGGAAAGAGAAGAAGGAAACCTTCAGAAAGAATCACAAAAATTCAAATAAGAAAGAAGTGGGAGGGGAAAGAGGGGAGTAGTGGTGATAAACCAATGGAATTGGAATATAATTTGATAATTTGTTGTTTTTTGGCATCATTGACTGGGAATCTTTTGTCTAGTAATATGTGTACCTTTTGGCAGTAATGCATCTGTAACTGTGTTAAATTCCACTGTTTTGTAAACAATGTTTCTTGGAATCCAATGTTACATTCCCATGTTAGATTATATTATATTACATCCCAATGTTTCAATGTATACCATTCCAGTGTTTAATTACTTTTCATTCTAAACATGTAACAAAAACTTCAGAAGTAAAAACATGTAACAAAAACTTCAGAAGCAAAAACATGTAACAAAAATTCCATCCATTCTAAACATACATAACCATACACAATAACAAGTGGACTACATCATTCTAATACCAGTCATGTTTCAATTATGAACTACATCATTCAACCCTAATACATCATGAACTACAATGAAATCCACATTTTCACATACAATACAAATAACAAAATCAATGCCAATTTGTGAGTAAACAACTCCCACTTGACTTTGTCCAATTCCTGTCTATTAACAAAATTGGTGTTCTTTTCTTCTTCGATGTTCATTCTACATATGCTGATTTCATTCTCCAAAGTGAAAATTTTCAAGGTTAAATTACAGCTTTCTTCTGGTTTCCTCTAGTAAGGCTTTCTTCCATCTGTCCTCTCTTCATCCTCATCCAGCCATTGCTAGAATTTACAGCTTGGACTTTTTCTATTCTTGAAGAAAAATTAAACAAAAATGTTAGGTTAAAGGATGATGAAGAAGAAAGGGTATTCAATAAGATGGAGAAGAAGAAAGTTGGAACGTATTCAGCTTACAATTGAGTTTTGACAAACTCTAAATTTTCTTCCAGGGTTGTCAGGGGTTCTTGAAGTCTTCACATGAGATTGTAAGTTGCAATCACATGGATGATCAACTTGAAAATCATCTTGTCGTTTTGAAGAATAAGATGAGGAAGAAGAAGCCATCGTCGATCTAGGGTTCAAAATCGGGTGTAATTGAATGACTTTTTATACTGTAAACGAAGATGATATAAGCACAATGCCATGTAGGTGCAACGTATTTAACTCATGTGCCAGATGGCTGCCACATAAGCAAAAACAGGTAATAACCGGTCATATTACCTAATTATGAACATAACTAACAAGTTGGTTCCATTAATGAGAACAAAAAAAAAAGGAATATTACCTATATGTGGACAATAGAAATAGTTATTTACCTTCATAAGTCATTTTCCCTAAACCAAATTCATGATATCTAATAGAAACAATATTTTTTAGGGTTTAGATCATTTTTTGTCACTTAATTTTTGGTTTTTTGCTCATCTGGTCACTTAACTCTTTTTAAGTTTTAAATGGTCATCAAACTTTTGATTTTGTGCTCATTCAGTCACTTAACTTTTAATTTGGTCACTTAACTTTTAAATTTGTGCTCATTTGGTCACCTAACTTTTAAAATTATGCTCATTTAGTTACTAAACTTTTGAAAAAATTTAAAAGTTTAGTGACTAAATGAGCACAATTTAAAAAGTTAGGTGATTAAATCTAACCAAACCAAAAGTTAAGTGACTAAATGAGCAGAAAGCCAAAAGTTTAATGACCTTTTAAGATTTAAAAAGAGTTAACTGACAAAATGGACGCAAAACCAAAAGTTAAGTGACCAAAAATGATCTAAACCCTATTTTTTATTTACCTAACTTATTCTCATTGAAACTTGTAGTTAGGGTATTATGTGTGGCAACAATATTTTTTTAGAAATTTTACTTTTTACTTTTTAATAAAACACTTGAATTAAAGAAGAACAAACTTTATCTTTTGAACTTAAAATTTTTATTTAAAAAAAACTCATAATTCAAAATTTTTTCCAATTTTTTTAAAATTTTTTGTAACTTTTAACTTTTAACTTTTAATTTTAGTCATTTAAATACTTATAATTATTTTTGCTGGACACTTTTGTATAAAAAAGCTATAACCTCTAACTACTAGATTTTAAATTTCAGTTTCTAACTTACAACTAAGAAACTAACATCTATATTTGTCAAAGCATACTCTTATCCTTATACAATTATGCAAATCTTCCATTAAAAAAATATTAAAAAATGAACCCCCCCCCTGTTTTTTTCTTCTGATCTTTCAAATCTTTCATTTTAATTAGGTTATTGACTTATAGAAAACGTCTTCCCAAATAAGAACCCACTGAAATTAAGGTATATATATTAATCAAATAACTTTTAGAAAAAGACGGTATTTAAAAAGTAAGACCATTTTATAATCAGTATATTAAATCTAAGACATTGTAGGGATAATATAAAGAAAGATCATCGAAAGTTGTAATCGATTTAAGTAAATCATGGTTTATCGAAAATTATGGATTATATCTCTATCTTGAGTTTTAACTATGTATTTTTTGTTTATATTTGTTTCATATTATTCTAAAACTAGGTTATAACCCGTAAAAACAATGGGTAAAAGATTTATAAAATTTTATTATATTAAAAAGATGTAAGTTTTGTTTAGATTTTTATATTGATTATTTAAAATTAATGTGTATTTTTTGTTTGAATATCCGATACACGTTGGGCGTGTTCGGCACGGAGCGTTTAAGAGTTTCTAACTTTTAACAAAACGCTCCGTTTTAAACATAAAGTCTCGTTCGGCACTACAAGCTTCTAGCTTTTAGTTTAAAAAAAACGCTTCAAATCCAAATGTTACTTCATGTAGCGTTTAACAAAACGCTACAAGCTACAAGCTACCCGCTACCGGCTAATTTTGCCGAACATGCCTGTTAAAAAAAATTATTTTCAAAAGATCTTTTAATTAGATCATATAATATACCTCTTTTAATTAACATATGTAATTTCGCTTAATCAAACTCTTGCAGACTACAAACCGGAGGTTTACCAAACTTGGTAAACATAAATGTAAAGCAAAATAAATACAACATTAATTGTAAGCTCATAAATTCTATTTTCTTAAAATTTTAGATTTGTACAATAGGATAGGATTTTCAAAATAAAAACAAACATTTATATCTAAATGCAAACATCTAAAAGAAAAACAAAAAAAAAAAAAAAAAAAAAAACTTTAGAAACAAACATTTATATTTAAATGAGCCATCTAAAAAAGAAAATTAATTTCATAGATTTCATAGTTCTTTTAGCTTCTACACATAAAAATATAGAAAAGTGATTCAATATGTCATAATTTAATTCGTAAAATTTTGAACTATTTAGAATTTTGGATTGATTCTGGTTCTGATTTTGTTGAACCTCAACATGTTGGGAAATATCCGAAAACCAAACCAAGTTTCTGCAAAAAGGGAATATTCATACAAGTTTCTACGAGAAATGTTTATTACCTACAAGTTATACTAAATCAATATCAAGTCACCATCTTGCCATATCCTATAAAATATTATTATTATTAAACCCTAATATTATGACAACCCTCAAATTAAAAAAGATTCAAAGGGATGTAGTGAAAGAAACATGATTTTCATAGACATTATCTCATATTCTTTCGTTTAACTTTTATCTATTGAATATCAACTTTTAAATTAAATTTGAAGCAAATAAATAGATATTAATATCAATCATAAATCCCTTGCCTACAGGGCTACCATATAATATAATATCTTTACATCAGAAGCCTAAAATTTAATTGTTTGGTACATGAAAAATAGCATAACACTTAGAAGATTTCTATAAAAACCCAGACATCTTTTTCCGTTAACGGCTGCACAATAGAATTGTAATTTAAGTTATGCTTTTTAAAAGATCAATTTGTGTTAAATACCCTAATTCCATCAAAGTTCAGAATCAATACATAGGTCTGTTAATCATTATGTTTTTTTCAAAGAATTATAGTTATACACTTGTAATTTTTTACCTGAACAATAGACCACCAAAATTTTTCTCATCAAATAAAAAGTGCAAAAAGTATATATATGAGTACACTCATTCCTGTCTACATGTTACATTGATGTAAAAACTTCAATGAATAATTTTTAAAAGCCATTATCAAAATCAGAGTACACTCTTGATATCATCTTTAGAAACATTCATTCCCCCGATAGAACTTTCTAGGCTATCTAATCCCACCCTTTCTTCTATTGTTGTACTTTCCTTTTCGTTTTGATTCATATCCACTCAGATCTAGGTAAGAACAATTCAAATTCTTGTGTTTGTCTTTGATTTTAACTTGAATATTGGACTATTTTTTTCTCAGATTTAAAAAAATCTACAAAGTGTTATAAGTTAAAAAGAATGCCTTTATAGATATGTCCTGGTTAAGTGCTTATTGTATTAAGTTCATTGAGTCAAGTCAATATTGCTTTAAAAGTCATCACATTTTTCTCTCTGTGTGTGTATTTGTGTGTGGCTTAATGCATTAGATGACACATGGTTTACAAACTACTAATTGGGTTTATCTCTATCAGCAGCTCCGCTGAACTTGTTTGTATCTAAAAATTCAACACAATTCAACTCACTTTTATGTATCATGAATATAAGTCAGTATATATAGTCATTATATCAAATGTTTTATATATTATTAACAAACAACACTAAATGGGACAAAAAAGTGCATAAGCCAAAATAGAAATCATACCTTTCTCTACCATAGGTATACTTACTCGATGCCCGTGACTGAAAACAAAAGGTCAAAAGGTCAAACTTTTATGATATATATGATATCTAAGTCCAAATATATATCGAATGTGGCGTACCTTACTATAAGGATTAGGTTTTTGAGTTGCATAAAGCAATCAAAATATCAATCAAATATTTGAACTTGTTTAAGTTGAAATTCATAAAATAGCAAAAAAGATTC